GGCAAACCATTGTTATCCCATTCTTGTACTATCGCCTCGCTCATCCAATTCCAACCCCACAACAAAAAATTTATCTTCGAGAGAATTAAGGCACGACGATGAGCTCACAGTCATACTTCGGGAACCTTCAGAGCGTGTAGTTTTATCGAGCAGGCCATCGCTGCTTTCTCTCGTTCAAGCCTTTGCGCTCCAATCTCGCGTCGATTGCAACATGTGTTCGTGAAATGTGGGCACCGAGCTCTCGCCTCCTCGGGTATACCCCGCCGTCGCAACGATTTCCCATTGGTGTGAATTGAAGGTGCCGCCATTCAAAATTCTTTCCCGTGCGGCACTATCTTTTACGTCCATGAGGATACTTCGCCGCTCAGGTGTCTGCGGGTTCTCCGAGGATCTCATCCGCGAATACCAAATACCCTCGCCCGAATACCCTACTAGGTATTCGGAGTAGCTAGGTCTTCGTACCTCTTACCTCTTATGGGGACCTCCCGATCCGCTCCTTTGGGTTAGGACCTCGCCGACCTCCGAAGACTGACCGCTTCTACTGAAGTTCCTTCGCGGTTACTACTCCTTCTTAACTTCTGGCGTACAAAGACGTATTCTATTTTAATCTAATTACTTCTACTTTAAAAGTAAAAAATGACGTGGATTTTCCGTCCTAACTACTCTATTTCTGAAAAAACAAAAAAACAACACTACCACAATATATATAGGTATTTTAAAATAAATATAAATTATTTTAAATTATTTTAAAATGATCAAAAAGTTTTTTTGCTTAAATTAAATATAAATCAATATATTTTTACAAAAATTAGATGTCACATATATAAAAAATCTATTTTTACAATTTTCAAATTTTTGGCTTTATAGAATTTATTTAAACTTTAAAATAAGATTTACTACTTAATTTTTATTTTTCATATCATTTTTGATCTACTAAATTTGTTCAACTATGTGTTTGCAATAATTTTAAATAATTTTTACAAATCAGGAAAAGAAATAGTGCATGTCATGTCTGATACCAATTGATAGATTGATCTTATGTGGTATGCTTTATGAAGAAACGATAATCAGCTTTTTAAATGTATTTACTAAGAAGGGGGGTTTTTTCATTTAAAAAAGAATAACTAAAACTACTTAATCTGAATTTTTTTCCACAGCTAATGCAACCATCGAAATAAACATAGTAGAACCATCACACTGATAATATCTTTACTAAGAAATCATAAGATGCTTATAAACCTTACTGAATCAAAATATATAAGCGTTGTGATACAAAATCAAGACTTTCTCAATCATTTGAATGTGAACTCAATACTTATGGATGATACGCTCTTGCTTACATATACATTCCGAATATGTCCAAACAAATCATTTCATCAATAAAACTAGCCATCGACAAAGGCCATGAAACTCGTGGAACTAAATTATTCTCTCCAACCTTCTTCACAATTCTCACTTTCTCACTCATTCATAACAAGTGCAGCGAATGAACTCTTTCAGTGCAGCCGAATCACATCCCCCACAAATCTACTTGGCACCTTTAGATGTCTAGTATAACATGGATTGTTAAGTAGGAAAAACGAAAAAATATAATAATTTGTTCATTAAATCACATGCCAACCGATTATGTGATAAACGAAGAGAATTTCTAACCCCTGTACTAGAGCAAGAAGGAGACTAAAATATATTGCATACATTAATCTTGAAAATCACCGAACTAAATACTGACTTGGATGCTAACAACTCCCACTATCCATGGCATGAAGGAGGCTCCTTGCTGGCAAGATTTGATCTTTGATCCCTCTGCACTTTAGGTCACAATGAACTACTGCACAAAGCAAGTGGTACATGTCGTCTCTTTGCCAAAACGGAACACATTTCTGAATAGATCTAGAATCTCCGATGGATCTTCACTCCGTTCTAAAGTTTACTTATGCGAATTTCCTGTGCGAATTGCAGTCTGATGTGATTTGTATTCCCAAAGGTCTGTCACCGCAGTCAAAGTTGTACGTGTACATGAGCACCAAGTTCTTGTCCGGGTCGTCATAAACACCTGACAACAAAATATCAACAGATAAAGCGCAATTTCTGGTCTTCAGCATTGCAGCTGAGGTGGCAGCGAATCACAACTGGTGTCTGAACCAAGGCCGATGGACAGACACGTCGATAAAAGCAGGTCATGAGGTCATTCTTGCGCAGTTAGATTGTAAACCTCGTGCTCTGAGAATGTCCAATCTCTGAGCAACATTTTCCTACATGAGGAAGGTTTGTCTCGCTTTGTTAGAATCCAACCAACTGTTTGATGAACGACATGAATGGGGTCACTATTCGTCGTTCTGATCAAGATGGCTCAAATTTTAAAATACTTATAAAAGATGCTCTTGAGCACACTCGGTGAAATGAAACCCTTGGATCTTAATTGACGGTGTGTTAGTACATGGTAAGTAGTAGGAGAAGAAAAGAGTAAGAGTACTTAGACATATAAGGTCTCATATATATATTTCCAATATTTCGGCCCTTGGGAAGTGATGGTGTGTTATTCCAGGGTAAGAAGTCGGTGAAAAAAAGAGTAAGAGTACTTACACATATAAGGGCTTATATATATTTCCACAAATTTTGGCCCTTCGGAAGCGACGGTGTGTTATTACATGTTAAGAAGTAGGCGTAAAGAAGAGTGAGAGTACTGCACTTTTATACATAACGGCTCAATTATATTTCCAATGTTATAGTCCTTGGGAAGTATCATTTTGGCTCAAAAGTGGTCACACTTGTTTTCTCTTGGGAAGTCCCTACTTTTCAGAAAGCTGAAAGGTTCAAATATTTGATTAAAGGGATTGTGGAGGTGTAAAATGAATGTTTATTGGAAGAAACGATGGATGGATGGATGACGGGTCTATAGAACTATAAAATCACCGACAAGTCATCCAATTTAGGATTGTCAGTAGTACTTTTCTTGCTATCCGAACAGAATAACTTTTATAGAATTATTGCATATGTTTGACTTTGATCCATTAGACAATCCCTAGCTTGCGTTGAAACTCTTTTTACTAGTATTGTTTTTTTACTCACATAAATATCTTCTAGATTTTCTCTCTAACATGCATGTATTTTGTCATGTTTGACACCCAATGATAGGAAATTCAATGGTCGTGTTTATAAATGTCATCCAACACGGATAATGGGTGACACAAAATTTAAACATATGGTATATGGAAACATATTCCATATTCCATGAACTTATAAATCAGAGCATGGGTCAAATATGCCTTTCTTTTCCAGGTGATCATTCTCGTAATATTCATTATGAAAATTCATCTATGATAACAAATATGTTCATACTTAAGATTTTTTCAAGGGAAGTGGCCGACTGATCATTTTTTCACATACATTATTATGACAAATAAGAGAGATAATATGTCCTTGAAAGTAGAACATGAGCTCTCAAGTTTGACATTTTTTCCATCAATTATACTACTGTCTATAATTTACTTTAAAGTGCAAATCGTTTTAGCAAGTTGTACAATTTATCTTAGTGTATCAAGTCATGGGAAAACATCTAGTTATATTTACAAGTATTTGTACAAGTCGAGACCTTCTGTTAACTAGCTCCACAAGCTTTCTAAGTGCTGGTTTTATCTCGACTACAATTGCGTTTCAATTAATAAGTTTTTCTTCATCCTCCGTAAGCTATCTCTTCTCAAGTATTACATGTCCGTGACATGGGAAAATTCATCGTACTTAACAACATTTCTCGCATGTCGGATGCGGTGTCTCCCGATGTTGACACATCTTCCTTTGAAATCCTTGACAAGTGTGGAGTAATTCTAACGAACTTGCTTAGTCCAAGGAAGCAAGCTGTTCGGTAAGCAAGGGTGCTCATCACATAAAGATTGCTAGATGTGAGAAGTCTTATTTCGAGCATTGGCTATGTATGAAACGGAAGCAGGAGAAAGAAGCTGAAGCTGGCTGACTATGTAATTCTATCTAAGCTGGCTGACTGTAACTAGCCGAGTCCCCACACGCTGAAATCTTGAATAGGCATTCCCGTCACATTATAACTGTGACGGGAATTTCTTCTGACTGTAAAGCAGACTGTGCAACTTGTAAATAGTTATCTCGGTCCTTGAAAGCACTGAGATAGTCTGTAACATGGGTTTATAGACATAGGACTTGCATCCCGAATCAGATCGACGAACAATGAGTCTTGATTACCGCCACAACCACTCACTATGGGATCCACTTCTTATTTCACGGCATGGCATGTCTCTGTAGGACATGCGACGCACGAAGAATTACAAACTCATACACGACTCCACTTCCATTTTGAGGGAGGCACCGAGAAAACTCAGAGAAGAAAAATAAACTATGGAAAACCTGAGGCTTGAGGTCTGGTTTAGTTGAAATATGGTGAGAACAAAAACCATCCACAAAGAATTTTCATCCATGTGTCATAAAGTATATGAAGAACTTAAAATCGGAATTGGTTAAACGAGTAGATGTCTTTTGGTATCTGACACTAGAAAGGAAGCGGGAGATGATATTCAAACGCAGGAACACATGCTCGAACCATGATACAACCCGGGACCACGCAATCACACCATCTTTTCGTTCTGCAGATGCAGTGTCAGTCTGATGCCTATGAGAGCCAGTCCGAGATTACTGTCTGAAAAGTACAGTCAGATTTCGAAACGCTTTTTATAATCAGCCTGCGAGAATCAAGGGCCAACGTGCGACGCGACGCATAGTCTGTCGAGGATGCAAACCAGATTATTTCATTGTTCTCGGCGGAACATGATTCCTTACCAAATGGTTAAAAAATTCAGAAACAGAGGGGTGCGATCGAATATGTTTTAAGAAATGCCTAACCCGGTCGGTGCCTCGCAGATTAACTGCGCTCCCCCCGATAACTGGTCAGACGACCTCACAGGTGCGAAGTGCCAATCCGCTTTTGAATCAACCCATCGTGAGGCGGGTTCGCGGCCCTGTTCCACAAATTCGTCTGATCGGGTAGAGAGCTTTGATGCTCGCACTGCGATAGGATCAATGGAAGCCGAGGTCCTATATAAAGAGTACCGAACAAATCTTCGACAGTTAAGATCGACAGCGTGAGTGTGTCGGAAGCTCGACTTGCACAAGGAAGGCAGCAATGGCCGACGAGACGGAGCCGCTCATACGAGGAGCGAGCGGGGCAGGGCAGGGCCTGAATCGCTGGCTGACGGGCCAGCAGCACACTTGGCTGACCGGGATCGTCGTCGCAGCTCTGGTGCTTGTGGGAGGGCACGATCTGCTGAAGAATGGAGCCGGGTCGTCAGCAGAGGACTGGGGGAACGCGCGGCCCCTGGAGAAGCTGAAGCAGCCGCTGGTGATTCTCATCTCGCTCGATGGCTTCCGATGGGGCTATCAGCAGAAGGTGTCCACGCCCAACATCGACAGCCTCATGGCCGAGGGCACCGCAGCGGCCAAGGGGCTCATCCCCGTGTACCCGACTGCCACATTCCCCAACCACTACTCCATCGCCACGGGCCTGTACCCGGCATGGCACGGCATCATTCAGAACGAATTCCGCGATCCTGTGACGAGAAAGAAATTCAAGCGTGGCGATAACAGCCCCGAGTGGTGGCTGGGCGAGCCATTGTGGGTCACCGTGACCAAGCTCGGGAAGGTCGCCGCCGCCTCGTTCTGGCCCGGGTGCGAAGTGGAGCTGCCTCCATGGACGTGCCCGCCGCAGTTCTGCCCAGCTTACAACAAAAGCGTAGGGGAGGTGCAGCGCATCAATCAAGCGCTCGAGTGGGTGGATCTGCCCGACGAGCAGAGGCCGAGCTTCATGAGTCTGTACTTCAACTCTCCCGACGCTGAGGGCCACACCGTGGGCCCCGATGGGCCGCAGCTCTCTGCGGCACTGCAGCGTGTGGATTCGCTGCTGGGGCTGCTGATCGATGGGCTCAAGGCCAGGGGCGTGTACGACGATGTGTCTCTGATTCTGCTCGGAGATCACGGCATGGTGCAGACCTGCGAGGGCAAGCACATCTACGTTGAGGATTTCAAGCCTTGGATCAACATTCCCGCCGAGTGGGTGGAGTACAGCGGCACTCAGCTCACCATTCGACCGCCGGAGAATGTGAGCGCTGTCGATGTGCACGCGGGAATGCTGGACGCCTTGTCCACCGGGAAAATTCAGAACGGCGAGCATCTGAAGGTGTACCTGCGCGAGGACCTTCCCCCGAGGCTGCACTACTCATCGGGCCGAGTCCAGCCCATCATCGGTCTGGTCGATGAGAGCTACAACGTCGCGTACGACCGAAGTGGCACTTGGTGCGGTGGAGTTCACGGCTACGATAATGCGCTGATGTCGATGCGCAGTATTTTCATCGCTCGTGGCCCACAATTCGCCCGAGGCAGGCTCGTTCCATCGTTCGAGAATGTGCAGGTCTACAACGTGATTGCCAACATTCTCAGCCTCCAGAACGCTGCCCCCAACAATGGCAGCTTGAGCTTCAAGAATTCATTGCTCCTCTCGCCTTAGGGGGCTCGGAGGTTTGCCAGACTCGAACAGAGATAGAGAGGGTAGAGGTAGAGGGTACGATTCCTACCGATTGCTTTGCTGAGATCTTGCAGTCTACAAAAGGTAGAAGGATAGATCGAGGCGAAACAGGACCGAGATATCGATCACGGCATATCTCTGTGTCCGGAGTCCTCGTATCTAAACGCGACGTTCATAGAGGTTCAGTCAAGACCCAAGTCTCGACTGACTTGTAGCCCGAGGCCTTACAATTTTATCAATGCAAGTGCCTGACGTACTTGGGAACAATTGCACTGCTTTCATCTGTTTGATGTCATCCCAACATCTAGAACTGAGTACCACTTGTTCTGCGACCAGATTGTTCCGATTCGTATAACTGAAACGTGGTGGACACGACAGAAGGGAGGGACGAGGATGAACGGGAGCACCAGGTGCCCATCTCTACCTCCTGTTGTGGACCAAGCTACGGCCCTTCGTAACAATTCCAATTCCCTACGCCGAGGTAAAATCAGAAACGACCACGGACCCTTTAACCTTTTATACGGACCCTCCGGTCGATCGTGCAGAGTACAGATCTCTGCCTGTCGCGATCACATTCTAGACTGGACTGCAGCCAGCACGAGAGCAGTTTTGTCGATTTACAAGACTCGTTCCCTGCACGATTGTGTTGGGCACGTGAGGTCCATCTCTGAAGGGTAAGTGGCAACGCTGTCCTAAAATGAACGCGGTGAGGCTACATGAACCGCACCGCTACATGGAGGAAGTATTAATGATGTATAAGGTCCAATCAACTGTATTCTTGAGGATCCAACCAATGTGTTTTATTCGGTCACATCTTCCCTTCCATCACAAGCGGCCCAGCAACATCATCCAATTTCTGCTCGATCTATAACATCACAGAAAGTGGTTACTTCCACCAACATTCGAAGATTTTATATCCGCAGTTTGGATATGCTCGAAGCAGATCAAGACTTCTGGTTGAAGCCTTGATAGTCAACGACTCTAGTGAAATTCCAATTTTGTGGTAGAGGGAATTTTTTCTTGAAGTGTTTCTTCGAACCTTATGAAGATTGGTGAGCAGGAGTATCGCAAGACTTCTTCCAGGATAGCTTTTCGGTGTACAAATTAGCTTCTTTGATCTATTTTGCATATCATTGAAGGAAGCGATAGGTAATCAGGAACTGCGTATTACTGCGTTCCAAGTACTGTGCTGTACCTGCTAGGAGTCTCTCCTGTTCTTGAGTCTCCGAATATTTTAGTTCATGTTAAGAACATCTTCTTATCTTGATCATAGGAGTCGCTAATGAGGATTCGGGTGCTCCCGTATCAGTTTCGTAACCCTTCTGACTATAGGACAAGAGCAGTCTTGTATGTACATGTATTCCCAAACAGCCCTTTTAAACGTGAGTGAAATTTTGAGACTGCAAGAACTTTATTGAGAAAGCATGTCTGGTATGTAATAATGCAGCTATTGGTGTGACGTGACTCGGTACCGGGTGATTCCAAGCGAAAAGTTCAGTGAATGTATGCCTGCAAGAACTTAGAGCACATCTGCCGAATGCTCTACGAAGCTACCACTCCCTGAGTTGTATGCCCCTGTGACGGTAACTTTCCTCAAGATTTTCAAATCAAGGACTGCCTTCTAACAATGTTCAAGAGCGTTGTCGTACGTACGAGTCTGATCGACATGCGGCCAAGATGATCGAATTCTCAGCTTAACGAACACGCTTGGAAGTCTATCGACAGATGTACCACGTGAGGACACATTTAGTTAATTATCACTCCCGTACTTCAGATCAGATCTGATGAGGTCATAAATAAGAAAGGTGAAATCCTGAAGGCGACCGACCGTAACGTAGTATGTGACCCTAGCAATCGACCGTTGAAGCACACAGGAAAGATATTGAGGAGCCATAACTATCTAGTCGTTGATTACATTGCCACTGAATTTGTAGTCAGATATCATCAATCAGATATTGATGATATTTGATTAGAGATTCAATGGCAATATATATCAACGACTACACAGTTATTGCTCCTCAATATCTTTCCTTAAGCATGAGTTGACATGCTCTGCGGTGGCTTACTGGGAGTGAGAACTGTGGCATACCTTGCTTTCAAAGTTCTCTTTCCAAGTCCAGCAGGCTACTGCAAAATTCAGTTCATCTAAATTCAACAAGCTCAACAATTTTGTATTTCTGGATAGTTTCGGATGCTACTAGATGCTACTAGATTTGTAAGCTGTTTTGGAGGAGGACATAATGGTGGATCAGGTGCTGGAAGAACAAGAAGGCTAGTTCTGATCGTAGTGAAGGAACTGCAGGCTGTGGTGGTAACATCTTTAAGCATTACACCATGCTTTCGTGCTTTCTATTCTCCTTCCCGGCAGAATGTTCTATGATGTAATGTTAGGCGTCAGATTCTATGTTTTCATTGCTCACAAACCTCTTGCCTGTGGTGCGTCATGGACGCCAGGAAAATGATTGGGCACGATCTGAGATAAAAGTTACAGTTAATACAAAACAATAACCTTGTACCTATAACATCTCAGTGATTGAAGCTTGATTCACATGAAAGCAGTACGCACCTTAGCATGCTTTCAACAGCTTCTTTTCGCTTGGGAGTACGTTGCTCTGTGGTGTCCAAATGTAAACTTTAGCTTGCAACAGGTTACATCACTTCATTTTCCGCAGTAATCTGCAGAACCTGCTGGGAACGTAACGAAAAAATGTCTTCAGAGGGTTTACTAAAATATTGACCAAATCTCGCATGCATTTACGTCTGCCCCGGCAGCTCACGCAAGCTGCCTGACAGCTTAATTAAGAACTAGATCCTGAGAGCGCTGGTCAAGGGTGAAACGAGGCCAGAGAAGGCCCAACAGTTCACATGAGTAAAGAAATGTGGATTTTCATCCAGGACAGACAGATTGCAAGTTTGACTAAGACTGAATTCCTCTGCCAGGAACGTCGCGTCTGCTGCAAAAGCTAACACAAGATGAAATCGTTGCAGAAATTGTTGGGAATGAGGATTTCACAGTAGTGTCTCAACTTTCTTCAACACGAGTTCTTCTCAACCTATGGACGTATCCATCGCTTCGGTCATCGCTAGCTAGCTAGCTATGGATGCTTCCATGCTCTCGACAACAAGTTCAATATTTTCTTTCTACGGTAGGCAGTGACAGTAAGTTTCGGTGGAGGGTCGCATCCCGGTTTCGTAACGAGAGTACAAAAATCATGGAAAGTCTGGACACAGGAAGCGATAAAGCAGAATGTGAAGAATGTAGGAAGAAACGAGTCTTTGCGCTCCATCCTGTTCACCATTCCGAGGAACACAATTGACCGCCTACAGGAGACCGTGATGGAGGAATCCATATCAAGTCGACTCCCTAATTCACATCAGTCGAGAAATTCAACCTCTCTACCATCCATCACTCGAACGAAAAGCATATGTGAAACATTAACTCTTGAGGCAAATCATCCTCACCCTCTGAACACTTTCACCTTCCTGAGGAATGGCACCGAGCTGGTGGCATTCCTCAAGACGCATCCGCAAGGAGTCCAACTCCACTTCCTCCAATGATTGGTTGCAAGTAAGATTTTTTTTTAAACAGTCTCGGAGTCCATCCATACCCTCCAGCCGAAGACGTTCAATGGATCGGTGCAATGGACCGTTAAATTCGAATTGCTGCCTAAACGCAGCGTTTCTAATAGAGGATTAGCTCTCCATAGAAGAAGTGAGCTATTGTTTAAAAAGCAGGCCGACCTGCCCTCATGGACGATTTTCCTCCTAAAAATCAATTTTCATTCAGGAAGATCGAGAGCTATGGCCTGAATGAACTTTCTCATTCTGGCTTTAGTAGACTGGAAGCTTTGGCAGGCGAAGAAAGTTGCAGAACGAAGCTCAAGTGAAGTGTCGAGACTTGACAACTAGGACGGAGCCGACCTTGGAGTTCCCACGCTTGACAGATTTCGGCCTCTACGAACAATTACAAGTCGTAGAAGGCCAATTTGGCCGACGTGAACAATGTCAGCCAATCCGATGGAGGGCTTCTGATCTTCGCGTCTTCTGATCTTACCTTTCGCGGCTGACTACTGAAGAGAAGGCTCGAGCCGCCTCTCCAGACTGTCGAGGCGGACCTGATTTCGCGAGGGTTTACTATGTGTGCAACTGTACAGTTCAGTTGCACACATTGAATCTGGTGTCTTACTCTCCTTCGGCTTGAATCTGGTGTCCCACTCTCCTTCGGCTTGATCGTCGTCCCCTTCCACCGATATAGTATACGAGGTCAGCGTCCGCTTCCACCGATATAGTATACAAGGTCAGCGCAATCTCAAAGGTAAGAGAGACACTTACTCCTATTAAAAATAGGAAGATTTCCAGATTGTGCAAGGCAATCTGGAAATATTTTTCCTGTTATAGTTCATGCGAGGAGGGAAAAAGACTCTGAGGAATCTTTAGTACTCCTCGCAAATTTAGATGGGATGGGTACGTAGACAAAATGATACCCATCGATGAGATTGATTTTTGTTAGATCTGATCATGGATTATATAGTAAATTATGCTATGCAAGATTTTCGTTTAGATGATTAATTGTCTAGATGCAGAACATAGGGTAAAACCTGAGAAAGCCAATCTACGAAAGACAGTAAAAGTATTTCCAGATTGCCTTGCACAATCTGGAAATCTTCCCATTTTTAATAAGAGGAAGTGTCTCTCTTGCCTTTGAGATTGTCCCGGCCATTAGCGCTGACCTCGTATACTATAGGGTACTCCCTCCACCTATATATACTACGGTGGAAGGGGACGACGATCAAGTCGAAGGAGAGTGGGACACCAGATTCAAGCCGAAGGAGAGTAAGACACCAGATTCAATGTGTGCAACTGAACTGTACAGTTGCACACATAGTAAACCCTCGCGAAATCCGGTCCGCCTCGACAGTCTGGAGAGGCGGCTCGAGCCTTCTCTTCAGTAGTCAGCCGCGAAAGGTAAGATCAGAAGACGCGAAGATCAGAAGCCCTCCATCGGATTGGCTGACATCGTTCATGTCGGCCAAATTGGCCTTCTACGACTTGTAATTGTTCGTAGAGGCCGAAATCTGTCAAGCGTGGGAACTCCAAAGTCGGCTCCGTCCTAGTTGTCAAGTCTCGACACTTCACTTGAGCTTCGTTCTGCAACTTTCTTCGCCTGCCAAAGCTTCCAGTCTACTAAAGCCAGAATGAGAAAGTTCATTCAGGCCATAGCTCTTGATCTTCCTGAATGAAAATTGATTTTTAGGAGGAAAATCGTCCATGAGGGCAGGTCGGCCTGCTTTTTAAACAATAGCTCACTTCTTCTATGGAGAGCTAATCCTCTATTAGAAACGCTGCGTTTAGGCAGCAATTCGAATTTAACGGTCCATTGCACCGATCCATTGAACGTCTTCGGCTGGAGGGTATGGATGGACTCCGAGACTCTTTAAGAAAAATTCTTACTTGCAACCAATCATTGGAGGAAGTGGAGTTGGACTCCTTGCGGATGCGTCTTGAGGAATGCCACCAGCTCGGTGCCATTCCTCAGGAAGGTGAAAGTGTTCAGAGGGTGAGGATGATTTGCCTCAAGAGTTAATGTTTCACATATGCTTTTCTTTCGAGTGATGGATGGTAGAGAGGTTGAATTTCTCGACTGATGTGAATTAGGGAGTCGACTTGATATGGATTCCTCCATTACGGTCTCGTGTAGGCGGTCAATTGTGTTCCTCGGAATGGTGAACAGGATGGAGCGCAAAGACTCGTTTCTTCCTACATTCTTCACATTCTGCTTTATCGCTTCCTGTCTCCAGACAATTAATAAATGCACATGATATGAGATTTCTTCTAAAATGTAGATGCAGATCGCATAGCATCATGATGTCCAGAAAAGGCTCTATAGTTCTTGCACATCGGAGTTTAATGATGACGGAAATGAGGTTACTGCGTTGGATTCTATCATCGTCTATGATCAGCAGTAGCCCTTCGAAGGTGCGGCTGACCAATATCTGTAACTATCACTGGGAAAATTGTTCAGTTATCCGCGGACCTCGAGTGAGAACACATGTCCAAGTGCATTTGTGAAGCCACGTCAATATAGAAGACGTATACTCTGAGTAGATCTTCTGGAATATTTCCTTATTTTTGTTGATCTAACTAAAGATGTTGAAAAGAGAACAGGAGCTCAAAACATGTAGTGACAAACACAAATCTTCCAACTTTCAGATTTCGAATAAGAAGTCGAAACGGCTCAAACCGGATATGCTCCAAGCAGATCTTTTGAATCCGCAGTTTGGATATGCTCGAAGCAGATCAAGACTTCTGGTTGAAGCCTTGATAGTCAAAGACTCTGTAGTGAAATTCCAATTTTGTGGTAAAGGGAATCTTTTCTTGAAGTGTTTCTTCGAACCTTATGAAGATTGGTGAGCAGGAGTATCGCAAGACTTCTTCCAGGATAGCTTTTCGGTGTACAAATTAGCTTCTTTGATCTATTTTGCATATCATTGAAGGAAGCGATAGGTAATCAGGAACTGCGTATTACTGCGTTCCAAGTACTGTGCTGTACCTGCTAGGAGTCTCTCCTGTTCTTGAATCTCCGAATATTTTAGTTCATGTTAAGAACATCTTCTTATCTTGATCATAGGAGTCGCTAATGAGGATTCGGGTGCTCCCGTATCAGTTTCGTAACCCTTCTGAGTATAGGACAAGAGCAGTCTTGTATGTACATGTATTGTCAAACAGCCCTTTTAAACGTGAGTGCAATTTTGAGACTGCAAGAACTTTATTAAGAAAGCATGTCTGGTATGTAATAATGCAGCTATTGGTGTGACGTGACTCGGTACCGGGTGATTCCAAGCGAAAAGTTCAGTGAATGTATGCCTGCAAGAACTTAGAGCACATCTGCCGAATGCTCTACGAAGCTACCACTCCCTGAGTTGTATGACCCTGTGACGGTAACTTTCCTCAAGATTTTCAGATCAAGGACTGCCTTCCTCTGATCGATTTCGTGAACTGGCCCATGACACCGTTGATTTTCCATTGTCATTTAACGAGTTCCTACTTTTCAAACTTCGTGCTTGATGACTACAGTGGTGAATCTAAAGGGTGCTGTCGGTGTTTTCCCAAGGTATGTTTCTGCTGATACCAGTTAGATGTTAAGGTTAAAGAATTCTGCAGCAGAAATTTTGAAGGGCGAGTTATGTTTCATAAGAAGCTACGTCTGCTGAGAGAATCATAGCTCAGTACTGGAAGAGAGTTAAAAATGGCATCACATATTACATATTTCAACCGTGCGAATTACGTCTTAGGAGAAGCTATGTCTCCTGAGAGACTCGAACCTCAGTACTGGAAGTGAAAAAAAACATTGGCAGCAGGATGAGTGGGCATATCAATAGCTTCTTGAAGACAATGTAAGATCCGATTTCCTAAAATATGTGCAGAACGGGATCCAGATGGTTCCAGAGCTGAAGGAGCGAACATTGATCGCAAATCACCAAGGCAGCGGTTACCTCTTGGCTACTGCTCAACGGAAAGAAGAAGAGCGCAGCCACCAGCTTGTTAAGACGAACAATTGCTCATAAAATCTGCAGACTCCATGCGCAATTCCCCATACAGTTTGACTCTTTCGACTACCTTGTGTCCCTCGTCGTCTCGGTTTCATTGCGGATTCGTTGTGTGGCCTTTACGAATTCAATCAGTATAGAATGACAATTCCGTCGGGAGTTTCGATTGAAGTTGATCCGCAACTGGAAGCCGTCATGTTGACATTCTGAGTTTATCGAAGATAGGATAACAGCTTGTCCGGCGTAAGTGGATTTGCTTACCTTTCCACATGTACCTTCGAGACTAAGCTCGGTCCCAATTTCATGAGAAGACGTATGATCACTCCAGCGTTAGCAAAGGTGAAAGCCACTTACAACACAGTCGGCTTCTAACAATGTTCAAGAGCGTTGACGTACGTACGAGTCCGATCGACATGCGGCGAAGATGATCGAATTCTCAGCTTAACGTACACGCTTCGAACTCTATCGACAGATCTACCACGTGAAGACACATTTAGTTAATCATCACTCCCGTACTTCAGATCTGAAGTACGGGAGTGATGATTAACTAAATGTGTCTTCATCTGTGATCTGATGATCACATTATAACCTCATCAGATCTGATGAGGTTATAAATAGGAACGGTGAAATCCTGAAGGCGAACGACCGTAACGTCGTATGTGACCCTAGCAATTGACCCTTGAAGCACATAGGAAAGATATTTAGGCACCATAACTGTCTAATCGTTTGATTACATTGCCACTGAATCTCTAATCAGATATCAACAATTTCATACGAAATCTGTTCTTGTACACTTACCCGAAGCATTGACACGCTCTGCGGTGGCTTACTGGGAGTGAGAACTGTGGCATACCTTGCTTTCAAATTTCTCTTACCAAGTCCAGCAGGCTATTGCAAAATTCAGTTCATCTAAATTCAACAAGCTCGACACTTTTGTATTTCTGGATATCTCGATTTCCCGAGTATCAAGCGAGCATATAAGTAAACAAATAAATAAACATGAACATAAATATAAATATGTATATTGAGAGAGAGAGAGGGGGGATTCACAGTCCAAAATTATCTCTAAAGTAATAGTTTGTTGTGATCTTGCATGTAAAGGAGTGAAGATGTTGGCTGCAGGAACAAGCAACGAATAATTTAGCACCTGGGAAGAAGACTTCTTCATGAACGTGCTGAAGGCCTTGAGAGAAAGAACCCAATCTACACGCAATATTTTTCGCAACTAAACTTGAGTAGTTGCGGAACGAGCGAAGTTTCGGAAGTTGACCATGCCCCGGAACAGCTGTTCTTGCTTGGAACAGAAGAAAGTGTAGCAACTCAGCATCCTTGATCATAACTCCCATCTGTTGCAGTGGTATGTTTGCATGCGTGAGTCCACTGCTCGTCCTCATCGGAATAAGCGGTCCAAGTATTTAGAAGCCTAGGGCAGGTGACCGTCCCGAGGTCCATGCTGCTAGATTTGTGAACTGTTTTGGAGGAGGACATAATGGTGGATCAGGTGCTGGAAGAACAAGAAGGCTAGTTCTGATCGTAGTGAAGGAACTGCAGGCTGTGGTGGTAACATCTTTAAGCATTACACCATGCTTTCGTGCTTTCTATTCTCCTTCCCGGCATAATGTTCTATGATGTAATGTTAGGCGTCAGATTCTATGTTTTCATTGCTCACAAACCTCTTGCCTGTGGTGCGTCATGGACGCCAGGAAAATGATTGGGCACGATCTGAGATAAAAGTTACAGTTAATACAAAACAATAACCTTGTACCTATAACATCTCAGTGATTGAGGCTTGATTCACATGAAAGCAGTACGCACCTTAGCATGCTTTCAACAGCTTCTTTTCGCTTGGGAGTACGTTGCTCTGTGGTGTCCAAACGTAAACTTTAGCTTGCAACAGGTTACATCACTTCATTTTTCGCAGTAATCTGCAGAACCTGCTGGGCACGTAACGAAAAAATGTCTTCAGAGTGTTTACTAAAATATTGACCAAATCTCGCATGCATTTACATCTGCCCCGGCAGCTCACGCAAGCTGCCTGACAGCTTAATTAAGAACTAGATCCTGAGAGCGCTTGTCAAGGGTGAGACGAGGCCAGAGAAGGCCCAACAGTTCACATGAGTAAACAAATGTGGATTTCCATCCAGGACAGACAGATTGCAAGTTTGACAGAAGTCTGAAATCCTCTGCCAGGAACGTCGCGTCTGCTGCAAAAGCTAACACAAGATAAAATCGTTGCAGAAGCGGAAGGAATCTCAAGTGTGACAGCGGAATCTAGAGCTTTGTGCATCCCGATTCCGTTTGCGCTCTGAGATCGAATGCAAGTGACAATAATGTGTCGATTGATACGCCTAAGGATGAAAGATACGCGTGCTTTCCAACAAGAGCTGCCTTCTTCCAGCATGATCCAAAGCTCTCTCCATATGCTCCTGAGAGATTCATGCATTACTCAGAGCATCGGCGGCTGAATCTGATGATCTCCGCATCGTCCAGGTGAATGATAGCCTGGTTTTGACGATCTGAGTTCTCTGCTGCCTCACGGACCTGCTGGACCCCTTATCGCTTCATTCGCTTCCATTTCCTACGATTATACGCAATCTTCTCGTCTCGAAAAGTTTCCAGATTACACACCGCAGGGCTCTTTTAGACCTTAGAAAAATATGCTTATCAAGCAGGAATTGGGAACTGGCATTCCAAATTATATAGGTCTCCTCTAAAGTCGATATATGTTCAAGGAGCAGCTGTGAGTGAAAGGATTGTGGATGCTTCCGTACTCGGAGTTGTCCTGGAGCTCGCGATAGCTATAGCTCGCTTTGACTCGAATGTAACCGCGTAATTGTAGAAACCCGTAACCAGTTTTGATCCGTGATTTCAACTTTCAGCTTGTAACAACCTGTTGGGAATGAGGATTTCACAGTAGTGTCTCAACGTTCTTCAACACGAGTTCTTCTCAACATATGGACGTATCCATCGCTTCGGTCATCGCTAGCTAGCTAGCTATGGATGCTTCCATGCTCTCGACAACAAGTTCAATATTTTCTTTCCACGGCAAGCAGTGACAGTAAGTCTCGGTGGAGGGTCGCATCCCGGTTTCGTAACGAGAGTACAAAAATCATGGAAAGTCTGGACACAGGAAGCGATAAAGCAGAATGTGAAGAATGTAGGAAGAAACGAGTCTTTGCGCTCTATCCTGTTCACCATTCAGAGGAACACAATTGACCGCCTACAGTAGACCGTAATGGAGGAATCCATATCAAGTCGAATCCCTAATTCACATCATCCGAGAATTTTAACCTCTCTACCATCAATCACTCGAAACAAAATCATATGTGAAACATTAACTCTTAACGCAAATCACCATCATCCTCTGAAAACTTTCACGTGGCCGATTTAGAATCGAACTCGGATTGTGTCGTGCGAATACATATCGCCATACATCGAAATAAACGGGAGATTCCCCACTGGAATTCCCGTCGGTCAATTACCCTACTGGCAACAAACCGTCACCGACACAAACATGAGTCAAGCCCAACCCACTCCACACTCGGAGAATCTAGGTCGACGCAAAGGGGAAAGTCTCTCCAAGCTCCCAACGCTTCCAGGCTCGACTCGAAGAACTAACGTTCTTCGAGCCGTCCCCGACTCTATACCCCTCGTGACCCGAACCCTATTTCCACGTCTAAATATAGTAAGTGCCTAAACTGCGTGAGCCGACTCGTAATTACATGACAGCTGTCGTGCGAATACATATCGCCATACACTCTACATCGCTGACATGCTACTCACATACACATACGCACACATACACACATATAAGGCGCGAGAGAGTACACACTCAAATGTCACAACTCGCCCCCTAGTTGGCGGTCAGGTCCCTCTGACTCCCAGGTAGTTCTATCTACAACTACATGCTATACACCGGGTACTATAAATACCGGGTGCTATGTCGCCCCATCATTAGTCGCCTATCTGCAATTCATAACATGTGAAGATCAAGTCATCTACCCCTCTGAAGTACATCGAGGACAAACCCATCGTCCAGCCGGAATAACATAGATAGGCAAAGTCAGGCACAACATGTGCCATCCCCTAGAACACCTATCACACACCAACATACGGGCCACCTGACCAGCTGACCCACACAACATGCACCTCAAGCCAGCACATACTATCACTAAGCTTGGGTCCATAATGCCATCTACGTTTGGGAGGTGACATGGCGCACAATTGCGCACATGATCCTTCAAAACAACGCCGTCACGACCCTCCAACAGGAGAACTCCAGAAGGTAACACCTCCCGCACTCGCAAGATTGTGCGTCCCGCCGTCACATCCAATGTCGTCGGTGCAGTCTGCTGTAGATAGACGTAGTCTCCCACATGGAATCTACGAATTGATGGTCGATAACCTCATCCCCGAATGGTTGCATACCGCAACGTATCTCTATGTTGAGCAATCGCAAGATTCTCAAACACTGCAGGCATAACTCTCCGAAAGAGCTGTGCACGCTGAGAACATACTCTCACCCACATATTTGGGTCATCAAGGTTCACCACCTCGCTAGACTCACGACGAATCGATGTTGGCAAGTCTGGATCTCGGCCGTACAATAGAAAATATGGTGAGAAGGAAGCCAAGGATGCATGCCGATTGAACCGATATTCCATGGCCAACCACGGTAACTGGATATCCCAGTCCCCAAGATGACCTTTCTGCAGGCCATACTTGCGCAATGCCCTCTTCACCGTCTGTACAACACGTTTAGCTAAACCATCCGCCTCTAGATGATCTCGCGACGTGGTCCGATGATCAATCAGTGCCTTGTCGCACAAGACCTGAAACTCTGTTCCCTGATTGGTCAACACCTCAGCTGGTGCACCATAGTGACTAAGCACTCTGTCAAGGAAAGCATACACTACTCCCTCACTTGCCTTGTCAGGTAATGCCACCAACTCAATCCACTTGGAGAAATGCTCCACCATCACCAACACATACCAATGATGTCGTACAGTCAAAGGTAGTGGTCCAGCAAAGTCCAA